TTAATATCTGACTCAAGTAAGTTTACGAGTTTTCATTTAGTTAGTCATTTGCTTGCTATTGATCGACGCACCAAAGCGCGACGCTCGTTCTTTTTTTCACTTTTAATAGATCATAATCGTTTTAAATTATGGATGATAGCGAAACTATTGATTAAACGACACAGAGACCACTCACATCGTCGGCTTACCATGCGCGCGCACACTCGCTCGCTCACTCGCGCATTTGTCTTTCGATCATATTCTTGCCCGGTCTCTCTCTCTCTCTCTCTCTCCGCTCGATTTTATTTCCACTCGAGTTTTTTTTTATTATTTCATTTTAATAGTTTAATGAACTAAAGTCCCATTTTATGTCATACGGCTATTTAAGTGCATCCCAATAAAATTGAAAAATATTTTTCGATGCCGAGTGAAAAAATCGAATAAAAGTTCGAAATAAAAACTACATATAAAACGCCCGCGATATTAAAAGCACAACATGAGGAGGGATAGAGGGAAAAAAATCAATTGAGAAAAGAAATCAGAAATGAAATCTTTGTAGAATCCGAGCGAAATGCCGATGAGTTAGGGAATAAAAGGAGATGTTTTGTTTTTGGGAGTATGTGCAATTGCGTCGCAACAAAACCACAATAATAAATGCGTTGAGTAGCAATGGTTTTTGCGCCAGTTAGTAACCCCTCTAAATTGACCACACAATAATAAAATCATTATGGTCGGTAGCAAAACGAATGGCCGATTTTCATTGAACGAGTGATCGTCGAGTTCGGGTCAGAGCAATGTAAAAAGGGTCCCTACACTTTTCAACTTCAATTTTTTTTTATGACACAGCCGAAGAAGTGGTCATTTCATTATCCCTGTGTGAATTTGCTACTGAGTTCCATTGAATCTCGATAAGTCCATTTACTCATTTGCACTACACAGGAAATGCCTCCGAACCAACAAACACACGTCTATATTCGTGAAATCGTAAATGGATTTTGTTCTTTGGTCGCAAATTGGAATCGCTTGTGTGCTGTTGTCGTCATAAATCGGTTTAGGTCAATCCAATAACAATAAAGATGTAAAATAGAAACGAAACGGCACCGAACAATTTTTGTTTTAACCGAAAATCAGTGCACGAGAGGGTAGTGTCCGAGAGTTGAACAGAATAATTCCGAATAGCTAGAATGTGAACACACTGTGGTCAAAGTGACATACACAGCAACAGGACAATAAGATTTTATAGTTCACCAAACGGATTTCAACCAGGAAAAAAAAACAGAGAAAAAGCGTATACAGATCAAAATAAATATGGAAAAGTGACCTGAAAGTCAACAGGAACCAAAGAAAAAAAATCACAACACAACCAAGTAGAAAATCAAATCGATTAACATTGTACGAAGAAAGAGGAAAAACCAGAGAGTCAATCTCAGTGCACCCGTACACACGTCGTTGCTGAGTAAAAACAATAAAGCGATAATCCTTTTGTCTTCGTTCCTTTTTTTATTGTTTCTGTTATTTATTACTCAAGTCACAGAGAGGTGAGTGAGTGAAAGAGAGAGAGAGGTAGAGAGATTAGTTTGTGCTCTTCAGAGAGTTCAGCTCTTTTACTGTCCACTTTCGAGAGCAATAGCCAAAATCCCGAACGGGTACCACAACAAAACGCATATTCATTGATATTCATTCAATTTATGTGGTTTTTTCGTTTGTTGTGTCCATTCTTCATGATCGGTAGCAAACATACAAATTTGAATGGTATTTAGTTGGAAATTCTCAGTGTCTTCTACCTCTTCTTGTGCTCTTTGTTGCTTTTCACACTCTTTTTTTCTCTCTTTCATTCGATTACATTTTTGTTTGGTGCATTTGAATACAATTTTTTTCTGCCTAAATTCATTTCTGTTGTCGTGCATTTGATTTTTTTGACTCTGGGGACTTCTCTCTTTCTCTCTGGTGGCATGCACTTTTGGGCTATGATATGTGCAATTTGTTTATATATATACATATATATATTATATATATATATATATATATCCTTCTTGCGAAGCTTTTGTGCCACAATTTTCGTGAACCGCATTTTAAGCCGCATCACAACACATACGCACACAATAAATTCGTAAACAAACTTAGACTGGCTAAGCTGTTTTGGCTGCAGATATTTGCAAAATTTATCCAAAACGCCATAAATCATGATATGTGTACTCGTTTCATCGTCTTCTTCTTATTTTTCCTGTGAAAATTGTGTAAGTATTTAATGGGATTTTTACATAGCGATTCCCGTTCACAGTTCCTAATCTGTTTATCTGTTGATGCTGTTGCTTGCTCCCTTTGACTAAGCCAACAACTACGTGCGACCTCCTTTTTCTCTCATTCTTTCTTTCAGATTGAAATGCATCGAGGAAGATTTGATTTTACACGGAGAAGGAAGGTGAAAGCGACAAAATGGTTTGTACATAATTTTGCACACATCCACAAATACGGTCAAGATATGTTCATACACCAGAGAAGAGAAAAAAAAACAACCACAAAAAATATAATCAGCTCATCGTTTCGCTGGAATTTGGTAATTCCGATCCGGAATTTTTGCCGAATTTCAATCATCCTCTAATTTATTATGCACACAGCTCTTATCAAAATGGTTTTGCTTTGCTTCATATTCGCCAAGATTGGTTTTCTCCTTCGATTCTTCTGCTATTTTTATTCCAAATGCTCTGAAACTGAGAAAATAATGATTTTTTCAGTGACATATAGAAAATGTGCATCGATTTGGTTTTCTACCTCCAAAATCATGTCAACCGTCATAACCTCATAACAACATTTGTTCTTCATCTTCTTTCAACCTTCTTTGCATATCTTTGAACATACCAAATATGTTCTGCAAACAATGTCCGAGATTCGGACTCTGAATGAATCCGAATGAAAGAAAAATCAGCCAAATATGTACCTTGTGCCAAAAATTAGAATGAAATAACAGCAACAACAACAAAAAAATGGAAAACAAAAGTAAATGTAAAAAGTAATAAAAACTAATTCAGAGCAATAAGACAAGATGTACAAATTGCACCCCAAAGGAAAAAAAGAGACTACGCAACATAGGTAGATCCTTCTCTGTCTCTGTCTGCATTCGACCATTGGAATGGGCCATTTTACAAGTGAATGCGTTTGCATATTTTCAAACATGATGCAAAATTTTGCAATAGTTGTGCTGCAAAAATGCTGTTTTTGTTCGTTATCTCTACCTAATTGTTCTTCAGTTTGGCATAATTATCGTCAATAAACTGGAGTAAATGAATGAAACATATACTCTGAGGTTATTGTTCATTTTTCGTTGTTGTTAGTTTTTTTTCTGTTTACTGTTTGCAAAATCGTAATTACGTCTCAATTTTATGGGCTGTATTAGTATAAGAATGTCAATTGCGTATTTTGTTTTCTCGCAAATTAATGGCGACCTTTGTTGTTGTTTTTTTTTCTTGCTTTAGTCCGAGGAGAGTGTGTATTAGATTTCAAACTGACAAAGCACTGTTATCGATAAGTTTCCTAATGATAAAACAACAATAACAAAAAAAAAACAGATAAAACAAATCTATTTAGGAAAAATTGGATATCCCTAAAAACTGAATTGCTGTGACTGAAGGTTCGTTGCCGAATATTGCATAGGCATTTGTCTATTGTTCGTTTTGGTGTTTGATGAATATGAACCGTTTTTTTTCTTGCTTCTCTCGCTCTCTCTATGCATATTCATTTGTGTCGTTGTTTTGCATGACTGTTTTCAGACTCTCTCATCGAGATTTGCATGCTGTTTACTTATTGCTCCTCTGTTCGTTTGCTTTCAAAACAGTCATTGTCATTACATGCTATAGAGATAGATGTTTTATGATAACACATACAATCTGGAATATCTGGAGATTTCTCATGTCATATGGATAAAAATAAATTATGAGCAATACTTGCTGAGTACAGTTGTTGGTGTATTTGTTCTGGTTTTCCAATGAGAAGAAACAACGACAGCAACACCAACAACAAAAAGCGAAAAAAAAAATTATGATTAATCTATCGACATGAAATAGTTGATTGATGTAGCTTCAGGTGTACAATGTTTTTTTCCTGCCTCTTTTGATTGTTATTGGTTTTACGTAGATACATTTGATTTGTAGCATCTATTGCGAACAACACGCAGAAACGCACACATCGATACGAACAGACACACGTACGGGCTGTGATCAGACTCCACCTATGTGATATTTATGATTGTCTCTTTCTTTGCTCTGTTACGTCTCTCTGTTCGCACTCATTTTCACTAGGCATATAACGACGGTGACGGCGACGACGAACGGAATCAAGACTCAGACCGAATGAAATGTGAATACGTAACATGAATTGATTTGAAGAAGACAGAATATATTTGAGATGTGTGTGATTGAAATGTACCTTCACACGAATAATAGCCAATACATTCGATCGAATATATCATTTCACACGGTGCGGACCACATTCCAGTCGGCAAATTGCCCCATTGAAATACGGAATGTCACTCGAAAGAGAAAATTATATGGTGTTGTTCATTTGTATCTGAAGAATGTCAACACAAACCGAAACATACACACACACACACACATACGCATGCATGCAACACAGTGACTTGTCCATATATCCCTACCACCAGGCTGAATGATCGACGCGTTTCGATGCGATTCAATGCGTTCTCTCTCGTTTCGCATTCGTTTCATGTACCTTTCTGTGATCAGGCTAAATCATCAACACAGAAAGTTAGGGCACATGATGTGCTGCCTGTGTGTATGTACCTGTGTGTGCTTGTGTTTGTGCGGAGCGTTTCGAATGAGCAGAGAGCGATCAGGAGAAAGGCCACAAGCGAGACAGATATACACAGATGAACGAAATAACATAGCGAATGGGAAAAGTAAACAACAAAGTTGTAATAGAAGGCACACACATAACACACCAGCCACTAACACACATACAGCCGCATTTTTTTGTGAAGATGTTGCGCTTAGTTTAAATTACTTTTTTTCACATTCATTCAGTGACGCTCGTTACATACAGAAGTATACCAAATTCTATTTCGTCGAAGTTGTTTGTTGTTTTGTTTTTTTTTTTCGTTCGTTCGTTCGTTCGTTTCGTTGCTTCTCGCCGTCACAAATCTTTCGTTTTCGTGTGCTGTCCGTCGTGTGAATTTTATTTTCTCTTCTCGATCGCTTGGCCATACATGTGCGACAACTACGACGACGACGACTACGACAACGACCACAACGTTTCATTTCAAGTATTGAACATTGAGTATTGAGCGCAATCAACAACAAATCACCTGTGTGTACATTTTTCGCCTTAAAAATTGTGCACAGTTTGTTCGTTTCTTTTTTGTTGGCAATTTTTTTTTACTGATTCACATCGATTCGTTGCATTCGAATATTATTTATTATTCAATTAAAAACAGAAAATTTATTTGGTTTTTTTTTCTGGACTAATTTAAACACATTCAAACGATATTTAAAATTGTGCGCAGATACAGATTTTCGGTGTGTTTTTGAACTTATTGATCTTTGGTATTGGAACTTGATTATAAACAAACGTGAATGTAGAACGCAATTTTATCGAAAAATTTAGTGTGTTTTCGGGCAGAAATTGATAATCCAACATGTTTGCATGCTGATCTATTGAGAGCTTTCTTCAGCCCAATTGGACTTGAATAAATTTAATCAAAACTAATTATTGTGCACAGAAGTTGGAAGAGAGCTAGTTTCATTTGAACGTGAAAATTACTGGAACAAAGGTAGGTCAAAACATATTTGTCAATTGTTTATGTAAATTTTGATCGAATTGTTTGTTATTGTTTTGTTTGAATGCGGTGTGAACTTTCGATGATACATCGAATACTGAGAAATTCTATACGCATTCTTGTGATAGGGGAAGTTTGAATCATTTCGCATCTGCTTTTGGTTTATTATTGTTGATTAAATTTCAAAAAGTTGAGTTTTTTAGATTTCAAATTCGTTTATTATGAAAATATTCATTTAAATATGTTCAGTTACTGGAGAAACAAGTTATTTCGCATCAAGATTGAATTGATGAAGCGAGAGAAGGAAGAGAGAGAGAGAGAGAGAGAGAGAGAGAGAGAGAAATGTTGATCTGATTATGGTTGATCTGGCGAATGAGTAATCCATTTAAAATGTGATCACGCGATTCTTGTTCGATATGTGTCAAGTGTATGATGGCGATGAGTCATGTGCCAAAAGAATGAATGCTCAAAAAAGGAAGCGAGGTGAATAAATGCAACAGTCCGCGTACGTCACACCGAAACGGACCATGGCAAAGAAAACAAATGTTACACGATTGTGGCGAGTATGATTTGAATCGGTATTTTCAATTCAGCGAAAAAGTTGACTATTTCCACGCAAAAAAAGGCGAAAAAAAACAATATCATTGAAAACAAAGGATGAACTCAATATTCTAATCGAAGTGAGAGACATAAAGAGCGAGAAAAAAATGTTGTTGATCCGATCAACACTGGCAAAGAGGCTCCGAAAAAAAGAGATTAAGTCTGTGTCCATTAAGTTACAAGTTGGAAGAAAAAAAAAACACCAACCATCCAATTTCAATAAATTCGAACAAGATGACAAAAAAAAACAATAATAATATCGAGTAAGGCAACGAAGATGTCAAAAAGGGAAAAATAAGACACACAACAAAACATGACTTCCAGCAGAGAGAATTCTCTAACCAACATCTCACAGAAAAATGAGAACACAGCGAAAAAAAAGCGAAGTAAAAACAAAACGGGGAGACAACAACAGCGATCATGACGACAAGACAGCTACAGCAACAATAACAACAATAATAATAATCATCATCATCACAAGTCTACGCACATGTGTACACACAGCAATCGTACATTTTCTTGTCAAATCGTCGTTTTTTTTCTCTCGTCTTTCTTTTTTTTTCTTTCTATCACTCCGGCTGAGTGATCAATATTGTTCCTCGTGAGTTCTCTCCATTCATGTATGAGACGCAAGTCATTTTCAAATCTTCACTTTTTTATAAATATTTATGGGCAAATCTTAAATATGTATGTTACGATTAAATGTTAATAATAATCGTGTTGCGTTTGAATTTTTTGGCTAAATTAATCTTATAAATCTTTTCGACGCAGGGCAAAATGAATACAACGACAAAGGCACAGACGGAGAGAGAGAGAGAGAAAAAAAACGGATGCATATCTGATACAAATTATAAACGATGATCTCCAATTCAAAATCCATACCTCATTCCATTTGACTCAATATGTAGTCGCTTCTCTCGTTATCTCTATCTCTCGCACACTTTGCATTCTCTCGATATTGAAAAAAATATTATCGATATTGAAATGAAGCCAAAGCTTTTAGCGCAAAATTGCGTCTAATAAAAATAGGTTTTTTTTTGGGTTAAGAAAGTCCACTTAATTATTCAAAATATAGACTAATATTTTAGATTTTTTTTTCTGTGGATTAAAGGTTTGTCAATTTGAATAACCACAACCAATAATGGTCGGAATGTTTAATCTGCACGCATATCGATCAGATAGAAAGCTCTGTGTACTAAATAATCGTACTGCGCTAAAAGCCTATATTTGACGATATTTGAGTCGATGTAAATGACGATGTGGCAGCGCCACCTATATAGATTCCTTATTAAAATAGGTAGAACTATTGAGTGCGTGCACTCATATCGCACGTAAATTTTCAATATGGCAGCGTCCATAGAATTGAAACGTTAACCAATTTCGTAGTCACTAAATATCGTACGTAAATAATCGCAATAATAGGGATGTTGCTCTGAAATTGAATGTGGAATGACTTTATGACTTCATGACATCATGACATCATGACTCCACTTACAATGTACAAAACAACCTTACAGTCAACAACATAACCGCTAACAGAACATTTTGGTTTGAAAGTCTCTATCGGAAATGGAATAATTTCATGTCATTTACCATCGAAGCGAAGGCGTGGAATGGCTTAATGTCTTACCTATTGCTGTGCACATTGTTATACTTTAGATTGATTGATCGATAAAATTTCGATTTTCGCCTGTCGTTCAAGTTGAACGGTTCAACCAAAAATTCATTCCATTTTCTAAGAAATATTCAACACGTAAGATTATTATCATTGAAAAACTCATTAGCTACATCCAAAAATATTGGAATTGAATTCAATTCATCTTTTGAAAAGGTTGCAAGATTCTTTTCCATACCATGCAACGGAGAATTTCACTTGAATCTTGTCACTTGTACGCCGTTCCTTCGAGAGAGATAGAGAAAAAAAGCGTGTATTCTTTGTATCGTGTGTGAAATACTGCACTGCAAGCATCGATTCAGTCTCTCATTTGAACCAGCGATAAAACGACCAAAAAAAACCCATCGCCATAAATGCATAATATCACCCATTTTGTAATTGTCACGATTTTGGGAATGAATTCCACACAAACACACAATTGATCGCGCACTTCCAAACCGTAGCGCAGCGATTCTTATTTCACCAAATATATGTAACGGTATTTAAATAAAACACCTAAATCGTGTTGCATTTTTATCACAAAAATGGTTTTTCTAGAAACGAAAACAGAAAAAAAGCGGTGCACACTGCACAAGCGGGCCCAGACATTTTATCAATAACAATTTTGCAATGGTTTTGGAAAAAAACGCAAGCGCACCGAGAGCAGAACAAAAAAAAATCAACAACAACACCATCGCATTACACTTGGTTGTTGGCTTCCAAATTGATGCAGATAAGGTGAAATATGGTGAAGCATCGCAAATGTACGTGCGCTCGTAAATTCAGTATTTAGCATTGAATCTGCAGGGATGTACAAGAGACGCGTATGACTTTTCACCAATATTTTTTTCTGTGGCCTACGCGGTTCGCTCTGCTTGCTTGCTAGCTCGCGCGAGCTCGAACTGTTCCAGAGACGATTTGGCATAACATTTAAGGTGACGACCGTGCAAAAAAAAATCGTGGTTTTCTCATATGCCCTGTTTAACTCTTCGTAATTGAATAAATGCATGTTGAACGGATGCTCCTGCTCTCTCTCTCTCTCTCTCTCTCTCTCGCTCTGTCTCTCTCATTTCACCTCGCATTCAGACAGTGTAAAGAACGCAGACACACGAAACGAAAACGTTTGTAACAAATCAACCGAATGAAAAAGTAGAAGAAGAAGGAAAAAAGACCATCTCTGATGCTCGCCAGACACGTGAACACGCTTTCAGAAGAATGACTCATGATTGTTTTCCGAATAAAATGTATTCGCATGCCAATCGAGTAATGATCGTCGCATATAAATCCAAAACGTTTTATCCAAATTTTTTTCTGCTCTCTCTCTCTCTCTCTCTCTCTCTCTCCCATCATTTCATGTGATTGCTTTTCCGCTTTGCCTGCATTATTAATATGGAATATGTTGAATGATTCCAGACTGTATTATTGACCAAATAATAATAACAATAATAGCCATTCAGTCACCTGGGCTGGAGATAGTGGAGAAAGAGGGCGAACGAACTAGAGACAAATACACAACCAAATACACACACACATGCTCACATATCGAGAGAAAGAAAAACGTAATCTCTTCTACGAAAAGTCAAAAGCGCATATATGAAGTGTACGTGCATTGCGATGGTTCCAAGCATTAAAAATTGTAATAGATACTGGATGCCATTTCACGTATCGGCCGATTCACATGGTAAATTTTTCACGACAAACCGCTCTCTTTGCAGCTATTTTGCAAAGCCAAAGCGCAACAACGAGAGAAGAAAAAAAAAACCAACAAAATATGAAGATAGCACAAAACCGAATGTTGTGCCGTGCATACCAATTGATATAAAAATGTGTAAGACTTTTGCAACGAAGCGAAGAAAAAAACGAGCAGAACACAAAAATTGTATGCATATAACACACCGTATTTTTCTAGCCGTAGCGATTAGGCATAAAATGTATGTGTAACATCTTGCTACATATCTCGTGTGTGCTTAATTTGTGCTGCTGTTGTTCTAATGATCTAGCTTCTAGCCATTTTTTCCAATTACCGTTGAATTTTTTCTTTCATGTGCACTGTGTGCTCTACTCATTTGGCTCTGATGTGCGCTCAATTTTGCTGGTCCTTTGCAAATCTTCTTTTCACAGGCACAAATACTCAATCGTTCGCTCACAAGCACCGAACACCAACACACTACCGCCTATGTAAGGAACCAACATCGTCGAACTGTATGTCTGTGTATGTACACATTTCTAGCTTTCTACATGCATGAAAATGCATTCACTTACATTGTTTCATTGCCGCATTCTTCATTGCAAGTCTCTGTATGTAATCGCTCGTGGGAACTGGATCATTAGAACTATCAGTTCAGACCAGGTCCCGAATGGCTTGCACATCGTCGCCGACTTTGCTGTCGTTGTACGCTTCATGCATTATCATCCACACGGGCCATTTTGCTACAATATTGCCTCGTGTGTGCCGCTTTTTTCTGTGCCTGCACTTCTGCTGCTTCGCCTCGCTCAATTCACTTGCATTTTATTTCGTGCGCCTAATTTCATATATATTGTTCATAAACGGGCAATTTTTCGCCGCGCTCAATGGCTTTATGCCATTGCCGTCCAATATAATAGCTACTAATAGTGAATGGAAAATTATTTTATCGATTTTATATTGGCTGTTGCAATCAACAGCAAGTTATCATCCGTATACACTCTCTCTCTCTCTCGCTCACTCTGTGTCTGTGTCTCTTGCACCCGAGAATATTCG